ATAAAATTAACCAACAGTTTATATCATAATATTCTTAAAATGTTGACAACTTTTTTAATTTTAGGCATTTAACAGGAAAAAAAAAATGTTTATAAAAACTTTTAGAAGAAACTTTTCTGGTTTTCTTTTTTGGTTTTCACCACCACCACCACCACCACTTATTTGTCCCTTTAATGTTAAAGAGTTATTTTATTTTGTTCAAAATTTTCCTATTTTTACTTTAGTCCTTACATTTAATGGTTATTAAGATTTATGAGCATTGAAATTTTTCGTTTTCTTTTTATTGTTGTTGTTGTTTTTTTTTCTTATTTTATTAAATAAATGACTATTTTCCTTTCTTTTTTCTTTATTCTTGTGTATATTTTCGATTTACTTCTTTTCTAAGAAACTCCAAAATATCTTCATATTTTTTTGTCTTTTAATTTTGATTTTCTTTATTTTCTATTCATACAAATATTTATATTCGTATACGAGTACATATACATACATAAATATGTATATACGTTTATTAATTTTGGTAATTTTACCCTTCAGATTGGTGTAAACAATATGGTTATATGTAGGTATACCATAAAAGTTTTTCTGTAAATTGCTTTTAATACAAATATTTTTATATACATATGTATATAGATTCGGTGTGCCTAAAAAGGAGGACTTTTCAAATTCTAAAAAAAAACAAAAAGAGAAAATTTCAGAATAAAAAATAAATGAATCAAAAAACAAAAAAAAAATTGGATTCTTTAACACTAATTGTAAGGATTTATTCGTTTTAATCAAAAAAAAAAAAAGGCAGAAAATTTTCAAAAAGAAAAATAGTTTTTCCTAGTAAAAAAAAAATAATAAAAGACAAGAAGAAATTTTTCTCTCTTTTTTTTTTTTCTTAAAAAATGAGAGAAATAAGGATAAAATGTGACTATTATGCGTGATAAGAACTTAAAAATGTTATTGTTTCCATTTTATTACATATAGACACTAAATATCTATCAATCTATGTATATATACAAATATGTTGCTATACAGCAGATTGTTTTTACTTGTTTGTGATGTGGTTTTGTTACAAGATTTATTTTTTAGACTTTGGTTCGTTTTTTTTTCTTTATTTTTTGAAAAATAATATTAGATTTACTATTTAAGAATTCTTTTTGTATATAAATATACACGGTGATTCAATAATCAGTGACATAATATATACCATCATTGAGCCCTTTACAAAAAACTGGTTATTCGAAGCCTCTATGTTTTTCGCAAGAGAAGTTATAAGCAAAAAAATTCGGCAAGTAGAGATTTCCTGAAAGTTTTAATAAATCCCTATTCCTCGGAAACCTTTGATATTTGACACCTAATTCTGAATAAAAATTTTACTCATTTTTGATACCCTAAATAATGGTATATGCTGTGTCACTGATTACTGAATCACTCTGAATTTATATACTCGAATATTTTGTACCACTACATATCAAAGGATCTAAGTTAAGGATCATTGTTTTTGTTTTATAATACATACATTATATGAAATAAGAAAACATGATGATTAATTAAAGGTGGATTAAATATAACAATTTATTTTATTTAGAATGAAAGGATTTCTAAATCAAATAGTTTTTTTATGCATTGAATATAATATGTGTTGAAAATCCTTTAAAGATTTGAATTTCTATAGTATTTTAAAGTGAGAAATTTCACAAAAAAAGGAAATCTGAAAATTGAAACTTTTGTTTTCTTGTTATAAGTTTCTATTGTGTAAAACTTTTTATATTGTATTAAATTTTAATATATGGTAACAAAATTATTAGAAAAATTTATGTTTTATAAAATAAAAATTAAAATTTAAGTTAAAGGAAAAAAAAACATAGTAAATTAAAAATCCTACTCGTATAATGTAATTTGAGTACTTAAGAATCATTTAAAAGGATTTAATTTTTGACTAGATAAAATTACCACCATGGAAGACATAATATCAATTTATTAAGATAAAAGTATCATACTCCAAAAGAGAAGAGAACGGAAATAATATTCTTTAATAAAATATATGCACGAATACACATGATATTCTTTAATAATTTTTTCGATTCTTTTGTCACATTTATTCTTATTTTCAAATTGGTAATTGGTATACCAAAAAATATCGTCTACAATGTTATTATTTTAATTAGGGATCGCTGTTGTTTTCTGATAGTTTTTCCTATATGAACTTTTAAAGAAGTGCATTTGACTCCTTTAAACTTTAAGAATGTCTGAAAGAAAAATAAGAATGTGAAGCATCCATTTTCAATAAATTTTAAGATAAGTTTAGAAAATAAATATTCATCATACATATTATGGTATATCTATATGTCAGATTGACTTGAATAACATTGAAATATCTTTTTTTCTTATTTTAATTAAAAATGTCTTCGATTTAAAAAAATTTAAAACGAAACTTGTGTTAAAAAATGTGATTAAAATTTAATTTGATTAATTTAATTAGTCAGCGATATTTAACAACAAATTTATTTATTTTCATATACCACATTAGTAAGTTAACCACATTAGGAACGAAAAATTTCCATTTAAAAAAAAGCATTATTTGTTAGAATTTTTCCGTCAAGGGGTTTTTATCTGATGAATCGTATGTTTTACTTGAATTTTAAAAGAATTGGAATCTATTGCTCTAGAACATTCCGTATTGGCGAATTGTCTATGCAAAAAGAATGACTGCGGAAGATAGAGACCTATTTTATCAAAATTTTGTCTTTGACATTTCTTTATGGTTAAAATGTATGCTAGACTGACAGGGAATTGGTACTGAACAAAATTAAATGGAATCGTTGGATCGTTTGATATATTCAGAGATATTATAGGAATAAAATCAATTTTTCTAGAAAGTAGATCATGGATAATTTAAAAAGGACTTTCTAGAGCAGTCAAATACAGCTCTTACAAAACACATATGTATCAGATATTACAGGTAATACTGTTTATCAGCAAATCATAAGGGGGACGCTTAGTAAGTAATACATTAAAGCTTCATGTAAAGCTATATGTACTCATGTATTGTGTAAAATGATAATTTACCTCTTCTGCATCTAGGAGTAATTCTGAAGGATTAAAAAAAATTAATTGTCAGTAAGGTGATAATTTATGGAAATCATTTTTTTAATGGCTGTAAGAAACACGACTATATTAAAAAGAAAAATACAAGTAAATGTTTGAGTCTTTTGAGATAATCAATGTTCCTTGAAAAATTTTCAATGACTACAACTTAAAAACGATAAGTTTGATACTAATCATCGGCATGTCGTTATGTGTATAGATTTATCAATTGAGGAACAATGTCCAAATTATTGCAGCTTAAACAGCTTCAAAGCTAGACTGGCTTTTTTTAACACAGAATTTTTTCGACCCAATTTTCACATTTGTTCCCCTAGACGAGTTCAGCCTTTAAAAAACTCCAAGGAATCTTACCCCAAGTACGCTTACACCAGAACCAGACCGTTCTGTATAGTGTCATATTGTACATTTGTTTCAATTAAATATTATTATTAACGATACTTGAATACTGGACGAGGAAAGAATTAAGAATGTGAGGATAAAAACGCCGTCATTTCAATTCAAATGATTTTCAGTTTTTTTTTTAATTTTTTTTTTATTTTTTGTCTCCCAATATTGTTAAAGTATGAAAAAAACTTATTTACATTATTAAAAAAATAGTAATTCTTATTATCCTTGTTGAATTTGAACACCTTAAAAGTAATGCAAAAATATTATTTATTATTTTGTTTTTTTTTGCTTGTCGAACTTATTTTAAAATAAAAAGAGAAACAAAGAAAAAGAAAAATTTGCGAAAAGATCGAAATATTTTAATGCTCAAGGTTTTTGTGTATAAATGTGGGTATATATACATAATAAAAGTACGAAAGGAACGTACACACGAATACAATTTCAAACTCAAGGCACGTACGAAATTTGTTAGTTTTTTTTTATTTATTTATATATTTTATTATTTTTCATTTTGTATTGTGTTTTGTTCTTTAAGGAACCAGGATATGTTATCATAATCAGGATATGTTTTATATAATCATGTTTAAGATTACTTTTGTACTGTACCGATGCATTTGTACGAGTATATATACAATATTTATTTAAACATTTAAGGATTTGTATAAAATATGTTTTTATGCTTCTGGACGGCACCCTATCGCTGATTTACAATATTCAACGTATTTTTTTTATAAAGATCCAAAACTTTATATATTAATTTGTCATCGAAGAGCGCAATATGTACACAGGGTGAGTACAATATTATTTATCACTGTTTAGAACATCAAAAATGGGTAAAAATTTTGTTTGAAACTTGTTTTCAAATCTCAACGGTTTCCGAGATACACAGATTTTAACTTATAACATAGAACATTACATATGAAATTCGATAAAATCCTTGCATCTTCGATGCCGTTGAGATTTGAGAACAAGTTTTAAGCAGACATTTAAAGACCTACTGACAAAAATTTATTAAATCCAGTCACTCAGTTTTGAAATAAATTGTTTCTAAATTTCAAAGGTGGTTTTCTTGATTCAAAAGTTATGTCGTATTCAGTAGACAATATCTAACGTAACTTCCAGAGTAGAAATTTATTTCCTAGATATGGTTGAAAGTGTAACCAGTATTGAAATAAAAAATTTTAAGGAAAATGTTTAATTACGAGTATATTTTCTAATATTTCTGGGCAAAAGTGTCATAGTTGATTTGAAATACAAATTTTTAATTTTTCATTTCTGTTTTAATTAAAGTTTATAGATTTAACTAAGTGTTTAACCTTTGAAAGTGTTTCTCATTCTATTAAAGTGGTCTACTGAGACGGTTATGCAATTCAATGCAATTTGTTTGCTTCAAAAATTTAAGATAATCACAATAATCATTCATAAAAGCCAAGCTTGATTTAATATTATTAGTCTCCATTTGATTTTCATGCTAAATTTAATTTTAGATAATATAAGAAAAGAACTATGCAAATTTTTTGCTATAATGTGCTTTATTAGAATTGTAATGAAAAACAAAAAAAGGGAAATGGAAAGGAATTACAATTATATATATATAATATAAGCTCTACCTATTACACACTTTTATATTATACACATATGTTAAAAGGGTTAATAAGTAATATGTATTTAGTTAAATGTTTACAATTGGGATCATTTAAGTAGGATCGATCTTACAATAAAATTTTATTTGGTGACATTATTATTTTATCCTTGTTTAGAACAAAGTGATTTTGTTGTTTGTCCAAATCCATCTGTGAGAATTCCTGAGGCTTCTTTTATTAAACTCAAAATATCGCCTGCATCTTCGTTATCTGGATCGATATCAGTGTTTTGTATTATATCATTAGCCTTTTCAATCACACCTTTTTCAAGTTCTTTCAAAACGTCGCAAAGCTTCTTTCGACAAACCACGTCTCCAACTAAATTCGTTATCCCCAGTGATTTTCCTCCTAAAATTCCATCTAATAAGCCGGATACAGTATTACCAAGGCCCGGAATTATAGAATTTAAAAGTTCACCCACAGGCTAAACGATAATGTAGATTTTTTAATTAAAATAATGGGACTACAATTGTAAATATATAAAAATTACTTTAGGTTCAGGAGCACTTTCGATTCTGGTTGCACTAAGTGCTAGTAATATAGTTATTATTAAAAATTTCATTTTCAAACTGATAACTTTTACTGATATATTTTGTCTTTTTATATAAGTGGGTTTCTCTTCAATTACACAGTAAAATTAAATAAAAATTTTTTAATTACTTAAGTCTTAAAATAATTGTGCAATTTCAAATCACGCATTAAATCCATAAAATATAAATTAATTTTTGTGTACTCGGAAACACTATTACTACATTCTGCTATATCAGCCTATTAAAAATAAAATTATTACTTCATCGTGATTTTAAAATCGTGTTGTGAATGAAGTGAAGATGACATAAGCCTGGCATGATATTTTTAATAGTTTTAACTGATTTTCGTATACACAAATAATATGCAATTGAAATGTATGTGGTCCTGTATAATTAGATTGATTGAAATTTAGAATATAAGAACTTTTTTTTTGTGCAAAGAAAGAAAGCTACCGAATTCAATATAATGTAGAGCTGAAAATTTATTAGCTTAAAAAGTTTATGATTCAGTTTAATGTGCAAATGGGACACAAATGTTTTCAGTTCTATTTGCTAATGAAACAATTTTTTCTTGGAAGAGCGAATTCTGCAAAGTGAATTTGTATACAAAGAAGGAAATTAACATATTTAAAGAATTTATTTTAACTTGACACTTAATAATTTTGTTGAAAACAAAAAACAAGGTGTAACTCGAAATAATTCACAAGCTTACGTAAACTTTTTGTTTAAAATCATTCAAAAAATATGTAAAGCAGTCAAAAAATTTATTCTTGTGAGTTAAGTAAAGCAGTACAGTTATTCAGAACTTCATCAAAATCAATCAATTATTAGTTAAGTTAAAATATCTTTATAAATGCCAGATCGTTTCAGATGGTTCAGTTTCCTATACTAAATATCCGATTATACTAAATACTTTACTAGAAGTTGATTATCTTGATCTGGGAGGAGTATAGGGATGGTGCATAATATCGTAGATAACCAGCTTAATTACTCACGAAAACTTCCTTAAAATTTTAGTGTATATAATATATTGTTCATTTTCACATTCAAGCATCCTAAAAGTATGCGATATAAATCTTTTTTGCAAATATTTATGATCATTTAAGGAATGAAAATATAACAATTTGTTTCAAGAAATATACAGCTACACTTAAGTTTAATAATAAATAAAATGTATACAATAGATAACTTTAAATTTATTACCATTAGGGTGATTATTAAGATGGTAATATAGGCTTACTTTAAACGCATTCATACCTTAAATAATCACTTATAATTTTTAAGTAAAAATCACAAGGTGTTTCTGTCATAAATTATACTTGTACAATATGCATTTAAAAAGCGTATTTTGAAAACTTGTTGTGGCATAAAATTATACAAAATATGTATAAACTGTGTGTATTATACTCGTATCATACCTCGGGCGAATTAATATCCAAAGTTATTATAAATTAGATACGTAATAGTAGTTTGTAACATTAACAAATAACAGGTTTTGATAAATGTCTGTCCACTACAACGATAATTAAAAACTTATCAAGCTGTGTTAAAAACATTTTATTGCAAGGACTGGGTCTTGTAATAATATTGCAATATTAAATTGATTAAGACTTGCAATATTATTGCCAAGTTCCTACTCAATTCAAGGGTTCGATAATAGAAGTTGTTCGAATAATTATCATAAAACTCCGGAAATAATTTGGTCATATCTGGGTAACTGTACAGCGTATAGTATTCAAATATTGTATATGAGTGGAATGGTAAGGTGGCTATTCCAGTAAAATTTAGTTGTGCTTCTATAAATAGCTGCCATACAAATTAAATAAAAGTTACAATATGTACGCAAGTCAAACTTAAGATTAACATTGAATTTTTTTTGTCAAACAAAATATTTGTGCGTTTATACAAAAGAACGAAGCATTGAGCGTAGAAGGACATTTTTTTGATATTGCAAATGTGCATAAATATAATTTTTTTTTTCGAAAAAATTTGAAATTCAATTTAATATTTTGATTTCGGAATTCTAAATCAAAGAATGTAAAATGTATTTGTTCACAGTAGTTTTGTATTTAAAGAAACCTGTTAAGCACGTATGATTCTTGTTCCTAATGTATGATTTTGGAATATATTGAAGCGAGCTTGTTCTTAGCTAAAAAAAATAAACTGAGCTTCTTACCTAAAAAAAGAAATGCTTATTAAAAGATAATATCAACCGCTATTTTTTCCGCATGACTTTGATCTGGTGATTTTACTGAAATTTTTCCAATCAAATCTTTGATTGGATCACTAAATTTCTCTTGACTCTTAGGGCATTTATTTACTATACTTTTCGTTACGAATTTTTCCAGATTATAATTTCCAATAATGGAAACGATATATGATCAAATTGAATTGTTGGGAATGAAGTTAATAAATAGGATAATATTTTTATCCATAATCTGCTCAATTGTGTAAATTTTTTTATTCAAATAAGGTTAAATGTCTTGTTTCTCAAAAAAAAGTAATTCTATTTTTTATTTAATTTGATTTCAAACGTAAAGGATCATTAATTTTTCGCATATTTTTTAATGCTTTTATGTATAGACCATAAAATTAAAAATAAAAAATAAAATTTTGTAAGCTACTGTAATGGCAAGTATACAACATAATATGACAATTATTTCCATTCATGCATTTACCTAATATACATTGTACACATTTCATGTTCTTTGATTATTCACATATAATGAGAGAAATGAAATCTTAGACGAGTACACACCTAATAAGTTTTTATTAATAGATAAAAAATAGGAGAGCGAAATACAATTAAGATAGGTAAATTAAGGAAAATCACTGATTCCAATTTTGGATGTAGTCAATAGGAAGCTATTAAGATATTAACAAATTGGCTTGTATTTAAACTAAATTGAAATGGAACTAAATAAATACGTTTAGGTTTTCATTTAAGTTTTTTTCTCTATAAAGTGAAGGAGCTTATAATAATGGTGATGAAAGAGCTTTAAGAATTTGATAGTTTTGGAAAAATGAAATATTCATAAAATGTTTTATAACAAGTTATATTAAAATTTTATAACAGTTTATTTGGGCAAACAGAGTTGAGACCGCAGGTTCGTCCTCTCTAGTATTGAGTATAAATTCAATATAGCAGTTAATTACTATATTGATAATAATGTTTTTCCAAAAGAATTTTCATAACACGGTGAATATTTCTGTATTTTAAGTATTTTAAATACGAATTCGAGTTAGTCTTCTTGATTTGCATTAGTGCGCAGTGTTGTTGATGGAAATAGATAAAATATTTTATTGACGATGATGATTCGTAATACTAATTTAATTATTCTTTAAGAATAATTTCTATTAAAGTTCTTAATACTATGTAATTACACCTCACATCACCATACTTTTCAGTTAAAAAAAAAACCAAATTATTTTTTAACATTGCGTTGATTTGGCATAAATACCAGCATTTTAAAACCTCTACTTTTTTGGCAATATTTACGAAATCGTGCTAGTAGTTCAAAAATTTATTTTTAAGTTGTTTTCAGTGTATTTTTAATAAAATTTACATTAATTTTTCGGCAAACGTGTTGTATGAAAAATAGACAAACTATTAAAATCGCTCTTTTGTGATGTGTTTTAAAAAAATCTTATATATACGATGAGTTTTGACTATCGTTTTAGCAAAATATGTACACCAATTTTTGCTTTTTTTGTTTTGATATAAGATCGTCTATTGCCAAACAAATTTTGTTGAGTAACAAATTATAAAAAAAAAAAAACGAAATTGAAAAAACTGAAAAAGTTGTTACTTTTTTAAGATAAGTTTCTATTAAAACGATAAGCCGCTTTTCCGTACCTTAAACCTAATCAAAAGATGAATGAATATGGAGCCCTAAAAGAATATATGAACATAAAGGAATAAGAAAAAGAAAATCTAGTAGAAAATAAAAAAGATTTTCTCTTTTGTGTCGCGTTATCCTTTTAAAGAAAAGGTTACGTGATTTTTATATAGAAGAAATCAACATATAAAATAAGAAAATAAAAAAAAAACAAGACAAATTAAAAAAAGAGAAAATTCAAGATTTTCACTTAATTTGTATCGTAAGACATTTTCATTTTCCCGCCAACATACATAAGTGTTCCTTTTCATCTTATAATAAAAATGATTATTATTATATCATCAATCATTATCATCATACCATCATTATTATAATATAAAAATCATTATCATTACTATAGTATCACTGCATATTATCACTATATTTATATTATAGTCTTCGAAAAGAAAATGGTATAGGTTAGATACGTAATCTCAAACACAATTACAGTCTTAGTGAAAAATATATGAACCGTTCCATTTTTCTGTAAAAAGATTTTATCTTTTGATTTTTGTTTTAATTTAGTCTTGGGTTTTAAAAAATTGTGTCTCAATTTGAAATATTTGAATTTTAGTTTTTAGAATTGGGAAAAATTATATTCAAATTTCCTAGCATATCATTCTGTATTTTGTTTACAAATAAAATCTTATGGAAATTTTTACCCTTTTAATAATATTTGACATTCTCTCAAAAATATTTTCGATATTTTCAACCTTAAGAAAATGTGCAAGAATCTCAATTTATTGTGAAGATTTATAAAAAATTACGTGCTAGTTAATGAGTGAGCGACTTTAAAAGTTTTCTAGACTTTTAATTCATTATGACTTCGTCATTCATTAAGCTCTTTTTAGTTTTATTCTGTCAATATTGGGTATTTGTTGTCAAATTAACATTTTATAGTGTACAATTGCTATCAATTTTCTAAATTCATTTACTTAAAATGAGCGCTGTGTGTAACACCAAAAAAATTTTATTTTAATAATAAAAATAGCATATTGCAAAAATTTCAATATAGGTTTGGTCCATGAACTTTCATTTAATTTTATTAAAGTGACAAATATAAGTAATTTGTTCTGTATAACTTTTTAAGAAAATAAATAATTTGAGTTAGTTAAATCAAAAGCTTAACAATACAGAACATTTTATTTTAAAGATTTTTAATATTAAATGTTAAATCAAAATTTCGTTT